GCCTTTAGTTATAAAAGCAGGATGCCAGTATGGGCAAACATGAGTCAACAGGGAGGATTGTGTGATGACTGTCTCACCTGACTTGAACTTCTTCAGACCCTTGGTACGTGCAATACCGGATTCCACAAAGCTGAGCAAGGAGGAAAAAAAGAGAAGGGTGTAAAGGACAGCCACAAATGAGAACCTGCAGGTTGGAAAAGGACTCACCTATATAGAGTCCAAACAGACTGGGTGGGAAATACCGTACATTGGGTCCTAGAGACTATATTCACAGTGATCAGATGTTTTAACGCTGGTTGCCTGGGTTCACATCTCTGCTTCACCACTTGCTACTTGGGTATTTAACTTTTTAAAATTGATTTTTAGGAAGGGAGAGAGAGAAACATTGACCAACTCTCTCCTGCACATGCCCTGACCTGGGATTGAACCTGCAACCTGGGTGTGTGCCTTGACCAGGAATCGAATCGGCCACCTTTTGGTGCATGGGACACTGCTACAACCAATTGAGCCGCACCAGCCAGTGCGCTACTTGGATGTTCTACTTTCTGTGCTTCAGTCTCCTGTCTACTAAATTGGATAACAGTACCACTTCACAAGGTTATTGTGAGGATTAAGTTAACTAATGCATATAAAGCACTTGGAAAAGCTTTAATAAGCACCTGATAAATAGCTAACAAAATATTAAAAAGGGTGAAGGCAACTTAATACATATTCAGATATAAAGATCTTTACATAGCTTTTTTCCATCTTTGTTGTACAAAATATGAGGAAGTCCATTTAAACTATGAGACTGAGAACAGATTTTTTAAAAATGCTTGCCCTTCAAGAAGTGCACATAATTACTGTGGGTGAGTGTTCTCTATACAGGGCAGTAAGGCATGGAGCAGATTCTCTTCTTGAGTTAGCCTGAGAATGGTGCTCAAAGTGGGAAAACGCTGAAACATTAGGTTCAATTCAGGGCTACATGGCTGCCTATCACACCTCACTTGCCCAAGACATGGGCTGAAAACTAAAGAAAGCTCAGTGTTCTGTTGAAGCTCTTACAACAAATAGTAGCCATTATCTATTAAAATAGTACCCAGAGTTTTGATAACTGTTTCCATTTTTTCAGCACAGAAAGCAGAGAAGCCATGGGAAGAAATCTGAACACGTTTGTAGCAGAGCTATGACCAGGACCCAGATTTAAAAGCTTTAACATTATTTCCATTACCTTTGATTCCAAGAAAATGAATGAACCAGTTTGACATCACATTATGTAGAGGTCTTTATATACTTGAAGATGTATTCAGTTGCCCCTTAACCATCTCCGCTTATTCTTTGGTCTGACCTCTCAGCAGACTGCCATTCCCACTTCTGGACCCTGTTAAAGGGGTGACCTAGGCGAATAGGTTTAACCATGTATTAACCAGGGATATTCCAATCAGATCCACCCCTCGGTGTGTTTAAGTCACAAAGGGGAAGCGGCTAAGGCACAGTGAGCCGGAAGTAGAGAAGCAGAGGGAATGGCTGCTGAGACTCTACCCAGAACAGCCTTCCCGGTTCGTGTATATTCCTGCCGTGGGGTCTGAGACGTATATCCCTACAACGCCCACTCCACTCCTCCTCTTCTCTTTTGCTGGTTAAACAGAGTTTTTGTTTGTAATCAAACAATTCCTGGCTAAATACATGACTATTTCTACTTCACACTGCTAAAAGTCAACATCAAGACATGCAGAGAGAAGAATCCAGCCTACCACTGTGTGCTTAGTGTTTCTGGGAGAGAAGATACATGAGCTAAATAGATTCTTAGCAATACAGCACTTGGAAGATTCCTCTGTGAAGACACCACTTTCAATGATCAAACCTTGTCAATTCCACTCCTCATCTATCTTCCTAATCCATCTTCTCCCCACACCATCTCTGAACTATAATATCCTAAGGCAATATGGGAAGATGTAAGGAAACTTGCTAGCTCTTTTAAGGAAACTCTAATTCCAAATCTCACTGTGGAAAGATCTCAGGGCCTCCCAGCTTTGTCTCTTATCATTCCCTTTCCCCTTGGGGACCTCTCACTTATGATCCTTGCTTCTCCAGAAAAGGTTTAATTTCCTAACACCACTGGAATAGGCCCCTTTGTCTTAAATTTCTCATAGCACCACTGAATCCAGGGTGAAATACAGGGTGTCCCCTCAAAAATGTATATACACTTAACAGTTAATATCTCTATTTTGAAAATGAAGTGTATTTTAATAAATTATTCAGCATGTATATAGGGGGATGGACATCCTATATATGTGTGTATATAGGGGGACACCCTATCCTATATAATAAAAACCTAATAAGCAAATCGACTGAATGACCAGTAGCTATGATGCGCACTGACCAGCAGGGGGCAGATACTCAATACAGGAGCTGCCCCCAGCCCGCAGGCCCCCAGGCCAGCCAAGGCGGGTGCTGGCAGGGGCCCCCAATTGCCCTGCTGGTCACCCCACAGATCGGCCCTGATGGCCGGCCAGGCCTAGGGACCCTACCCATGCACAAATTTCATGTACCAGGCCTCTAGTAGTTATATAAAACTTTAGAAAAAGGTTTGGGAATAACGAGGAAAGCAAATGAAACACTGTGAAAGATACAACTTACCTATTCTAACTAGTTAAGGTGTCCAATTTTTATTCAACAAATATTTGAGCACTCTATTGTGATTACTGTACATGTAATGACAACACACCTGCTCTCAAGAGGCATAAGGCAGTGGGAGTGTGCTAACTTGCTGTGTCAGTGGTGATTCAGGATGAATGAGAGCACAGAGACAAGGCAGCCAGACCAGTATTTGGGGGAAGGGAATTAGGGAAGGTTTCAGTGAAGTTGTCTAAAAAAAACCCCCAAGGCCTTAAGAAACAAATATGAATGAGCAGAGCATGAAACTGGGGAAAGGGAGAGGGCAGGAAATGAAGCATTCCAGAAGGTTCCAAGCACGTGCAAAAGGGAAGAGTACAATGTGTAGATTGTGAAGGGTTATTCCTTGTTTATGCTCAGGTGACAGGCTGTATTTCCTACCATCCAGAAGAGTCCACAAGAACGCCAGGATGCCTCTGAATCTAGGCCAGAGAGAGATGCGTATTCAAGTTCAGTTTCCTCTTTTTACAGTCAATGGCATCTTCCTCGGTTTGGCTTCCCAGACTCAGGACTGACGTCTTCATTCCGGGTGTCTAATGCCAGTAGAATCGTCATAAGATTTTGCCTTGACCTTGATAGGGACACTATGGCAGAATAGTCCGTTAACTTTACACATTCAGTGAGAAATAAATTCTTCTTTACATTGCCAACGTAAAGGCCACTTTCCAAAGATGTAAGATTGAAGGGAAACCGGGGTTTGTCTTTAGTTTAGGCAGGAACTATGTAAACCCTTCTGTTACAATTCTCCTCACAGAATGAAAATCAAGGGTGTTTTTTGTTTGTTTTGATTTAAAGAACTTTATGTTCCTTCTCCGGATAGGAAGCCTACAGAATTTATTATGCTTTAACAGGAAAATACAGGGTCTGTTTTCCCCAAGAGGCCTTGTATTTCAACTCCATGGGCCAGAAAGACAGACTGAATGAAGCCAAGGGGAATATCTGACTATAATCAATCTACTTTCTGACCAGGGGCACACAGGGTCCCTGACCTCCATTCTCCGGATTCTATGTCTATTCAGCCATGTGAGCACAGGCACTTAGGAGAAATGTGCACATCACTTCAATCATTTCCCCACTCCTGGATTTATCTTGATCCACTCAATGTCTGCTTTCTGCCAACAGTAAACCCCAGAGGTCAGGAGGTCAAAGGTTCTCGATGTTTACCTGGGGTTCCTTTGGAGGCCCAGCAACGACCCTTTCCTTCAAGATCCATTCTGCACCTTTGGATCATGCTAACTGCACACAGTAATAACCCCGAGCTCCCAAGGCGGCATGCCATGGGATGAGGAGGACCTACGGATCAAGCCTGCTAGAGAGAAGGCGAGGTGGATGCAAAAAGATGAAAATCAAGTTTACTTCGGGTCTTTGTTTTGAGAATTGGAGGTTTAGAAAACTTCCTTAAATAGAAGGAAGTCATAAAAGGGAAGCAAATTAAGTTTCTAGACATTTGTATGATACAGTACTGAACTATGGTTTTTCCTGGACCAATGTTGTTACCCAATGTCACAATGTGACTCATCTCTAGACACCCTAGTGCAGTGACGGCGAACCTTTTGAGCTCGGTGTGTCAGTATTTTGAAAAACCCTAACTTAACTCTGGTGCCGTGTCACATATAGAAATTTTTTGATATTTGCAACCATAGTAAAGATTTATATTTTTGATATTTATTTTATATATTTAAATGCCATTTAACAAAGAAAAATCAACCAAAAAAATGAGTTCGCGTGTCACCTCTGACACGCGTCATAGGTTCGCCATCACTGCCCTAGTGCCTATTTTCAAGCTAATGACATTAAATTTTCCCTTGCAAGAAGATTTTAACATAAACAGAAAATAGAGTATTTTAGGTAGCAATGATCTAAAATATAGCTGTTCTTGAGCATACATTCCCAATGGGCAAAACTCGGTACGCTGGGGAGCAAAAAAATATTACTCTTCATCTATATAAAGCACAAAACTATATATGGTCCATAAACAGATGTCCAGAATCAGAATATTTGTGGTATTAAAATTTCATGGGGATAGACAATTTGAAAAAATATATCTAAAAAGGCTCTTTAGTGAGGAGAGAAATGAAAAATTTGAGAAACACTGCTACCGATTCTTCTGTCAAGTCAGGAATACCTAAATTAACTTCATTCTAGTGATAATTCAAAATCCCAAGATAAAACAGAAAATCATGGAGATTCTACTTCTAACCTATGTACTTGTGACTGGATCCAATTCTGTGGCCTTTGTTTCTCCCAACAGAAGTCACTCAAATTGTTCAAGTGTAAAGAAAACCCTAGGATTAGTAATATAAAAAAAGTTGATGAATCATTAAGTTTACAACACATACAAAGAGTACAAACCAATAAAAGTAAATTTATTTAAATTACTAAAATAGCTTTTAAAGTCATTTATGGATCAGCTGCTATAATTATTTTTCCAGAAAGGTAAGCAAAATTAATTACTTTAAAATTATTTTGGTCAGTGAAACATTTAATAAAAACAATTTGTTTCTCCGTATAATATATAGGTATAAAATAAGCCTTTTCAAAAACTCTTCTTGTGTTAGAATCCTCTATAAGTCAGACGATCTGATTTCTGACAGGAACAAATTACAATATGAGGTATAAATTTATGAATACTGGTAGTCTTAGGGGGAAGAAATTAGACCACACACTACTACCAGTCATGGGATCTTCAAAAGGGTTGTTGATCATTAAAAAAAAATAAGATGGCTCTAGGGTTTTAAGATTCTAAGAAAAATCAAAGCAATTGATAGATGAGAAAGCTGTTACAGATGCAAAAGATATAACCGAAATATTATAGTACAGTAATGTACAGTAGTACATTTTAACATTCTTCACACATGGTAAAGTTCACTTTCTTTTTGGCTTGAGGCACTCAAGTTTATCATGTGCATAGTACATCTTTATATTTGTTATAAGAGTCACTAAAAGAGACTGTAACAAGTGGACATGTAGAAAATTAAATCCTTCAATAGCCCAGAAAAGCTGGTTAACAAATGGTCTACCAAGTCCCTCCCTTCCCCAGAAACTACATTTCTAAATTCAAAACAAAGCTTAAGGATATATCCAAAATAAACCGCTCTGGATTTACCTGCCCTTAAAAGTCAAATGAACAAGTACACTTAACCTCGTGATAGCATGCTTCACAATCGTTGAGTGGACCAAAAATTTCTTAAAAGTAAAAAAAGGATATGTGAAAAACAAATCCCAACAAAATGCACTGAGAATGGAGTTTAGATAACTATGTTTGACTCAGTCTCTGTGGCTTATTTGACATTTTACCTTTAAGAGTTATTTTTTCCCTCCTTTCCTTCCCCATTCCACAAATTCTCTCTGTTCTTGCCTCCAAAATCAAAGGAAAAAATAACAACCCAAACACACACTCAGATGACCCTTCGCGTTACTTTTGTTCCTATAAGCAGAAGCTCAGGAACTCACACCTAAAAGAAAACAAAATGGGAAAACCCACAGTTGCATTTAGGGAGCTGCCTTACTAAAACCAAACTGAAAAGTCTACGTTAAAAATCGGGAGGCTTTATAGGAAGGATTTTCTAGTCCGTCCTACTGGTCATTCCATAATAATAATGATTCAGCCAGCATCTAAACTGGTCCTCTATGGGACTGCATATAACTTAAAGTTCTCTGATACCAGTAACACAAATCTTAATGGAAATAGGGAAATGTTTCTCTCAAACAACAGGTAAGAGGTCGGAGAAATGATTTAGAACTTTACTTCCTTCAGAGAGAAAACAGTTCTTTCACAAAGATGCATTCTGTCTCTGGTTACAAAGTCCAAAAAATTCTCAGCACTTGGGACATGATTTCTCTTCTGTCGCCGCTTATAAGCAGATGCCCCTTTTCAGGGCGTTTTCAGGTTGTACAGGCAGGACGAGGTGGGAAATACGGCTCCAGAGCCCACTCAGTTTGTCTGGGTCCATATGTTTGTAGGAGGTGGGTGTGTTAGAGTTGGTGAACTTGACTTTGAGGAAATCCCTCACTTTTTCTTCAATTTCCTTTAGGCCTAGACTGGTTCCAAGTGTTTCCTCCTCCAACAAGACGGTCAGGACTAAGGCAACATCTTTGAAGGCCGCATTTTCATGGTCACAATACTTGTAGAAGATCAAAGTGGAGCCGGCGGGCAGGGACTCGAAGCGGTGCACCACAGCTGCGTTCTGGCCATTTTGGAATCCATTGCTCAGTTCTTGGTCCACCTCTAGTTTCACAGCATCACTGTCCTCGGTAGCTCTGCCTGTCCCATCAATCCGGATGGCACGGACACTTCGGTGGGATGAATAGGCATCAGCGATTTGTTCACTCAGACACTTGAGTGCTTCCTCAGCATCACGGGCAGCGGTCAGCAGCAGGATAGCAGGCTGAGGACGAGGCTGGGAGCTGTTGAGATGTTTTTCCAGGAATGTTAGGCTCCTTTTCCACAGCTTCTCATCTTGACCTTGGTACTTAATCATAAGTTGTTTCATCTGGTTCTGGAACTCTTGCACAGCAGTGCTTTCTACCTCAGGAACATGAGTGTACCACCAACTCCCGAAGACAAGAATAAGGAGCACAAGTATTGGCCACCACCACCACTTCATCTTGACAAAAGATGCATTTTTGGGTTGTCCAGTCATGTCTGCTCAGGGAAAAAAAATGACAGATACAAATATAAATTTCTTCAAGTCAAGGGCAAGTTGACTTGTAAAACCAGTATTAATCTTTTAAAAAATGTTTTTAATGAATTTTTAGAGAGAGAGGATGGGAGAGATAGAAACATCTATGAGAGAGAGATATCAACATTGATCAGCCGTCTCATGCATGCCCCCTACCGAGGATTGAGCCTGCAACCCAGGCATGTGTCCTGACCAGGAATCAAACTGCAACCTCCTGGTTCATAGGTCGATGCTCAACCACTGAGCCACACTGGCCAGGAAAACCAATACTAATCTTTATAAACAGACAAAAGAGGAAGGAATTTAAAGAAGGGAGCTTGTAATTTACTTTCTTAATAATTTATTACACATTTTTAAGAAAATCTCACACCGATAGGTTTTAAGTTATGTGTATAAGCATACTTATAGCTCTTCAATACCAAAATGATAAAAACTCAGAGGAAAAAGTAAAATTTAAATGTATGAAATGGCATAAACAGGTCATAAATAATTCTATATAATAAAAGCCTAGTGACCGAATGGTGGAATGACCAGAATGACCACTCGACCAGTCGCTATGATGAGCACTGACCACCAGGGGGCAGATGCTCAATGCAGGATCTGCCCCCTGGTGGTCAGTGCGCTCCCACAGTGGGAGCAGATGCTCAGAGGGCAGGTCCACAGCTGCTCGACTGACTGGGATGAGTGGCGCTCCCACAGTGGGTTGATCCCTGCAGGCCATGCCCCCCACCAGTGCACGAATCCCATGCACCAGGCCTCTAGTATAATTTATAAAGCAAAACTATTATTACTACTGCTAACACTGGGGAAGTAAGCAATATTAAAAGATACTTTATAAAGCATTTTTAAATTTAGAAACCCAGAGTTCAGATGGCTAATCAAGACAGAATTTTTAAAGTTTTTGAAGTGTATAAAAAGATAAAGAAAAGGATGCACTCTAAGTGAACACCTTGCATATAATATAGCTAGCTGTCCCTTTAGTAGACTGATGCAAGTTAACACTGGTAAAATTTAGTTTGCAACTCATCCCTAATTATTATTGGCTATCATGATGCCAAGTCACTTATCTATTGCTTTTCAGTTTATAAAGCACTCTCTCATATGTCACACACTTAATTGTTTAATATAATGGCAATGAAAATACTTCTATACCTTCTAATTATTGACTGACTGCTTTAGACTAATAATTCACTATGAACCTTTTAGAGCAGTAGTTCTCAACCTTCCTAATGCAGTGACCCTTTACTACAGTTCCTCATGTTGTGGTGACCCCCAACCATAAAATTATTTTCGTTGCTACTTCATAACTGTAATTTTGCTACTGTTATGAATCATAATGTAAATATCTGATATGCAGGATGCATTTAGGCAACCCCTGTGAAAAGGTCATTTGACCCCCAAAAGGGTCGCGACCCACAGGTTGAGAACTGCTGTTTCAGAGCAATAGTTGTCATAGGTCTCATAATACTAAGACATTATTAACCTTTCCCATCATGTTGACACTTGCATTGATGGTACAAAAAACAAATGATGCCTTAGAATGAATCACAAGGCAGTGGCACCAAACTGTACAATTATAGTTTTTGTATTCTTCATGGGCATACATTCAGTTTTACTTAAGAATGTCCTTCATAAAGCAGTTAAAATTATGTATCTTACTATAACTTGAGGTTAATAAGAAATCATTTGAGCACAAATTTTAATATTCTATGTGAAGAAAGTGGAAGCACTCATAAAGCACTTTGCCCTAACCGGTTTGGCTCAGTGGATAGAGCGTCAGCCTGTGGACTCAAGGGTACCAGGTTCGATTCCAGTCAAGGGCATGTACCTTGGTTGCGGGCATATCCCCAGTGGGGGATGTGCAGGAGGCAGCTGATTGATGTTTCTCTCTCATCGATGTTTCTAACTCTCTCTCTCTCGCTCTCCTTTCCTCTCTGTGAAAAATCAATAAAATGTATAAAAAAAATAAAGCACTTCTTTTTATTAAAACTGAATTTATTGGGATAACATTGGTTAATAAAACTATACAGGTTCAGTTACATAAAGCACTCTGATGCATAGCCCAAAACAATGGCTGTTTCAGGAAAAGAACTTTTGCAACTGAGGTGTGAGCTAACCTAGTGCTTTTTTTCATGGAATTTTTAATTGAAAGAACAAGTGACAAACTATGGTTAGTCGGATTTGCATATCTGATCGACATTTTCTTTTTTTTCTTTCTTTTTTTTTTAATTTTTTACTTATTTTTTATTTTATTTATTTTTTACAGAGAGGAAGGGAGAGGGATAGAGAGTTAGCAACATCGATGAGAGAGAAACATCGATCAGCTGCCTCCTGCACACTCCCTACTGGAGATGTGCCCGCAACCAAGGTACATGCCCTTGACCGGAATCGAACCTGGTACCCTTGACTCCACAGGCTGACGCTCTATCCACTGAGCCAAACCGGTTAGGGCGACATTTTCTTGAAAATGAACAAAGTGAGCCCAACCGACAGTATTTGTTGCCAATTATAAAATTTAAGGTTTCAAGCAAAAATTACGATTGTGGAAATATTGTATCTACCACTATCAGTTCAAAAGCTCCCAATTCTAAAAGACTTTTTTGTCGGTGGTGATATTAACAAATGTACTCTTGATATTGTATTACAAATGTCTCAACATCTGGAAGAACTCCGTAACTCAGTGAATCCATATTTTCCAAATGACCAGCGCAGGATAGCCTATTCAAAGTACAACAAAGACCAATAGGTTTTACAGAATACAAAAAGTTTGTTAATGTGGTCTCAGATTTCACATTTCAAACAGCAGTTAGAAACTACCATTTGTTGAGTTTTGCAGAGTATCAAAATTAAAATATCCACAATTATTGGAAATTATTAAAATTCTATGTATCTGTATAATGCTGGATTTTCTGCAGATACTTCAACCAAAGCAATATACTGCAACAGACTGAAGGCAGAAGTAAAAAGTACGTAAGCTCTATTGTGTTAAGCCAGGCATTAGAGATTGGAAAAAATATAAAGCAAGTTATCACTCTTCTTATTAAATTATTCAAAAATAAAATAAGTCAGAAAAGAATTTCAACTTTATTATCTAGTTAAATATGGATATGTATAACCCATATATTTTTAAAATAGAGTTTTTGGGGGTACTTATTAATTTCACTAGTAGAAAGTGGTATTGAGACCAAAAAGTCTGCAAATCAGTTATTTTCTTAGTACTCATTGAGGGTAATAAGCAGGCTTAGGAAACTAAATTTGCCCCCAACACTACAGAGAAGGTAAGTGATCCAATCTAATTCAAATACAGGCCTGTGGACTCTCAAACCCATGATAATCCTGTTATGTTATGCTATGTGAGGTCTTTTTTCTTTTCTTTTCTTTTTTTTTTTTTTGACTCAGCAAGGTTCACTTGGTTAACAGTATTAGTAGCTTTAATTTATTAACTTTTACTTTTGGTTGTATGGACAATAAAGTGAAGGGGGAAACCAGTTGTCGTTTCTTATCACTTACCCTTAAAGAATTTCACCGCTAGTAAAATATACTTTTCCCTCTGAAGTGCTTAAAATATAATTCTTCAAATAGCATTAAGTTATTTTGCTGTCAAACACAATTAAAGACAATTATGGATCACCAGTTTTAGAGGCTCACTTAATAAAAACTGAACAGACTTACGTTGGCTGAAGGTTGACGGAGACTGGTTTCCAAACTCTGATTTCTGAAAGCTGTCATCTAATGATAGGAGTAATAAAGACTATCAATTTATGTTTCATAACTTAAGTATTTCCAACAGAGAAAGAAAATAAAAATTCCACCAAGAAATAAAAAAGGTGGAGCTCTGCCAGAAGCAGAAGAAAAAAGCAGAAGTGCCCATTAGAATGACAGCTCCTTGAGACAGGGGCCTATTTCCCTCACAATTACTGACAGCATGTCTCGTACAAAGTGTACTCTTAATACATTCGCTCCGTGAGAAAGCCTTCAAGTATCTGATCCAAATTATTTAACGGGAGCTGTGAAACTTCTGGGACAAAGTTAGGAGGTTCAAATAAGCGCAACCATAATGAAAGGAAACATATACTATCTGAAGACCTGACATATATTGAAACATTTGTCTGGTGCTGATGCTGTAAAGAGGAAAATCAAGAACAAAATCCGGATTATGGACACTGGGCTATCTGGATAAGATGTTTTAATGTAAAGCTCCATCTTAACACCATTTTCTACCTCAAATTGACTCAAAGATTTCCTCTGGTGCGTCTGACCACTTCAAATAGTCCCAGTAATTTTTAGAGGGGCTGGGTGAAAAAGGTGAAGGGATTAAGAAGTACAAATTGGCAGTGACAAATAGCGATTTAAAGTACAAACAACATAGGAAATAGAGTCAATAATATTGTAATAACAATATATGGTGTCAGGTGGGTACTAGCCTTATGAGGGATCCTTCATAAGTTATATAAACAACTAACCACTATGCTGTACACCTGAAACTAGCATAGTATCAAATGTCAACTGTAATAGAAATTTAAAAGTTTTTAATAAAATAAATAAAAAATGACGTTAAACAAACTTTTTACCATTTTTGTTAATAGGCAAGCAAATCTGTTTTATGTTTGTGGTTAAACAATAGATTTCAAAGGTAATTTTCTCACAACTTCATCAAATCTCTACTTCTATCATTACTTCAGAAAACAAATTAAAAACTACCCTAACTCTTTTCTTTTTCCCTCCATCTTTCTTGGCTTGGCCACAGATTTTAACTTCTAAGAGAGAGGTCACAGAAGGATAGGGGTTCAGAAGGTGGAGAAGCTAAGTTACTCATACACATGATCTACATTTACCAATACTAACATTTATCAGTTGTCTGGAGTCACAACTGTGTGTGTGTGTGTGTGTGTGTGTGTGTGTGTATAATCTTTCAGGTGTTTATCCATAGCTTTCATCTGAGAAACACCAAACTAAACTGGAGGAATAAAATTAGCACTGCCAAGGTCCAGAAATAACCTTATTTTTGGTCATATGACAAAAACCCTCAAATGAAGCAAAATGACATCAACCTTAACTCTAAAGACACATTGTTTTACAATTCCTACTTCAGCCCAGGACACTACATTTTTTAGAAGCTGCTAAATTAGGTTACTAAATAAACAAATGCATAAAAATAATTATGTTAGCTTGAATACCTCACTCCTTAGCTGCAAAGATCAAATGAGATAATATATAAAAATGCTGTGAAGTGCAATACTATGATGATATTAAAGACAAGTAGCTAAATAATGTTATGTAACATGTAATATTTATATAACTCATAAAAAGTAAATTAAGAAAACAAAACTAACACCAACAAAATCTAGAAAATAATCTTAACTAGTAGCCCTGCACATGAATCCATGCGCCAGCAGGTCGCTGCCGCCCTCCTGTAACTCCCCCGGCCCCCACTCATAGCTTGTTGCCCTGCCCTCTCCTGTAGCTCTTTGCCTCCAGCTTGCTTGCTGCCCTGCCCCGCCCCATCCTATAGCTCTCTGCTGCCCCCTTGTAGCCAGTAGGTCGCTGCCGCCCTCCTGTAGCTTCCCCGCCACCCCCCATAGCTTGTTGCCCTGCCCTCTCCTGTAAGTCTCCACCTCCTGCTTGCTTGTTGCCCGCCCTCCTGTAGCTCTCAGCAGCTTGCTTGTACCTCTCTGGCCCACCCTCCTGCTGATCCATGATCTGGTCGTGATGTGCTTGGTCGTTACGCCTAAGGGTGTAATGGCTAATTAGCATATTCCTCTCTTATTATATAGGATGGTACCAGAAAAAATAAAATAGAACTAAACTTAACTAAGGAAGTGAAAGACTTGTATACTGAAAACTATAAAACACTGATGAAAGGAATTTAAAGCAGACACAAGTAAATGGAAAGACATCCCATGTTCATAAATTGAAGAATTAAATTCTTAAAATGTCCATATTGCCTAAAGTAATCTACAGATTCAGTTCAAGCCCTATAAAAATTCCAATGGCATTTTTTACAGAAATAAAAAACAATTCTAAAATTCATATGGTGTCACCAAAACTCCAAATAGCCAGAGCAAGCTTGAGTAAAAACAATAAAGCTGGAGGTGTCACATTTTCTGATTTCAAAATGCATGACAAAGCTAAAATAATCAAAACAGCATGGTCCTGGCATAAAAACAGACACATACACCAATGGAAGAGAATAGAGTCTAGAAATAAATCCATGCAGATATGGTCAACTGATCTTAGACAAGTGTGACAGAGCTCAGTCTTCTTAATATATGATGTTTGGGAAAATGGATATCCACATGCAAAAGAATGAAACTAGACCCTAATCATATACTATACACAAAAATCAACTCAAAATGGATGAAAAACTTAAACCTAAGAACTAAAACCATGAAGCTCCCAGAAGAAATACAGAGAAAGAGCTTCTTGATACTGGCCCTGGCAATGACTTGTTGGATATGGCGACAAAAGCAGAAACAAAACATGAAATTACATCAAATTAAAAAGCATAATGAACTAACTTGAGACAAAGTAGGAATACAAACAGGTAAAATACAAAAAATCAGCTAGCAATTTAGCAACTTAAAAGATGTATTTCTACATTCCAATTAGATCCTCAATGTAATTATTTTACCTTCTACACTGCATTTGTAGTGTCTTATTGGAGGAAGTAAAAATTATACAAACTTTTTTTTTTAGGAACATGTCCAGTTTATTTCATAAAGTCTCCTAATTTTATTTTATTTATTTGTTTTTAAACCTTTACTGTTGAAAGTATTACATATGTCCCTCTATTCCCCCACTGACCCCTTCTAGTCCACCCCTGCCCCCTGGCTTTTTTCATACACATTTTTGATAATAGTGTGCACTATACTTCACTTATCTGGAAGTAATCTGATATTAATTACCCAGAATATAGGGATGTCCCCCAAAATGTATACACACGCTTCAAATAATTATAAAGGCAGTGTTTATTAAAATACATCTCATTTTCAAAATTGAGCTATCAGCTGTTTAATTGTGTAGACATTTTTGGGGACACCCTGTATATAGTTAAAAACTAAGGAATAACATGTAAAGTCTCTGAACTTTCCTAGAATATATATTCAAACTCAGTTTTATTTCCAAGAGTATCTCTCAGATCTTCAAAATAAGTTTTAATTTTTTTATACTGGTTATAAACAAATCCTAATAAGCTGAATAATTAATAACCTTTCCTAACTCTAGTAGGACAGGACGAGCAAAATGTAAGAAGTTATCTTCTAATAGCAGGTACACATAGCAATAAGAAATGACAGCCAACAATAAGGCAATAACCCAGAGAGCATCCTTCTAATTGCTAGAAGGGATGCTACCTCATTCATGAATTGCTTAATAAAGCCAATTAGATCTTGGAGAAAAAAAAAAGGTAACCCAGTTTTGATAGCTGAAGAACTCATTATATGTGGGGTAAAAACTTCATTACTGGGAAAAATGAATTGTGAGCTATTACTGTTTTGCTAATGGCAAACAAAGCCACAGAGCTTATCTTGTCCAATTATAGTTAATCACTTCATGAGCAAGAGATACATGATGGGGATTTTTATGTTATCTACATAATAATAAGGGGTGATGACCTTGTGACCTACTGTGATTAGGTGAGTAAAGAAGGGAGAGAAGTTAAGGGTCACATAAGGCATGGATTTTTATTTTATATGGTCAAGGTTTAACATAAACACATTGCTACAGAAATTAAGATGGACACTGAATTCAAAATATGATTGCTTCATCACATCTATTTATGGTATGTCCTTATTAATGACATCACAAACACCTTAAATGCTTATCTGAAAAATTAAATATTTTTGTATGTTAAATAATCAAGAAAAACAGCAAGTAAAATTATTTCAATGGTAGGTAGAGATTTATTAACTTACTTGGCATCTTCGTCCTTATTCTTGTGGTTTGGTCAACCCTTTCCTGAAGGTTTTTTTGACATCCTGATATTTTGATATTTTGAAGGTTTTTTTGATATTTTGAGCCTGTAGCAAATACATATATCAAAATATGATTTCATATACTTTGAAAATGTATACCATACTCCCGTGTTAGACAATGTCAAAGGACCACATCAGTGAGGATGAACCACTTCCCAGCAAAACATGTAGCAAATAAATATACAGGATGGGCAAAACTGTATAATAAAAAAACTGTATAATAAACTGTTAATAATAAAACTGTGAATAACACAATAACTAACTAAGTAATAATATAAGAATAAACTCACGAAATCACAACTCTAAACCTACTTTTGCCCAACCCTGTATAATCACCTAAGAAACAAAACTCTGTACAAGCGCTTTGCTCTGGTCTGTGAAAACGACTGAGTTCAAAAACACTTCAACTTGATTTCAATGTTAATTAAGAAGAGAAAGTTAACTCTTGCAAATAAATTACTTTCAGTAAAATTGTCCCGAACACATTTCCACATCACAGAGTAACTACCACATATAGTACCAATGTGTGGTGAATTAAAAGGCAAAGAGGAGAAAATGACTTAAAAACTCCTACAGAGGTAGTATTTTTTGTTGGCAGAGTAATGACAGGTTAGAATTGGTTGACTAATCCAGAATCACCATCCACTTACTTGGCACTGAATGTTGCGTATCAAGAGCTTTGAAGTCTTGACCTGAAACAGAAACAGAGATAAAGTCATAGAATCCTTGGAAATAAGAACAAAAATATTGCATAAATATTTTGCTTGTTTATTATAAATACTATAAATCAAAGAAACAAAAACAAAAACCTTTCATCAGTCCCAAACATATACAGTAACTGTTTTCCCTTTTTTAAACTTCAAAATGTTCAGGAATTGGATAATTAGTAGTCAGCTTTAGGATCAATACCATCAAAATAATGATGAACTGTCTTGAATGTTTACCAGGTGTCAGTGTAATTTTACTTAATTCTCACATTTTGTGTGGTGAATAGTATTATTATTCCTATTTTACAAATAAGAAAACTTAAATTGATAACTTGCCCAATTAAATATCTCAAAGTAGTAGGGCTGAGATATAAACCCTGGCAGTCCACATAATGTTATGTATTATATAAGCAAATTTGTGGACATTGCAGAGTAGGAATGAAATAAAGGATCCTGCTGCATGTTTTGCGCTGGTACTTAAGGGCACCTATAAACTGATACAATGGAACTTGAAAATGATATTACAATGCTAACAAGAAAAATCTCCAAATCTGCCCAGAAGAAATGAGTTACTTCCACCCATTGATACAAGTATCAATGTAAATTTATTTTCAACTTAATTTTTTTCTGAAAACAAGTGCAATATATGCTAGCTGTAAAAGGAATGCACCTTTCTAGAAAGGTATAACTTAAAAATTAATAAATATCTAGTAAGTGTTGCCCTGACCGGTTTGGCTTGGTGGATAGAGCATCGGCCTGCAGACTCAAGGGTCCCAAGTTCAATTCCAGTCAAGGGCATGTACCTTGGTTGCCGGCACATACCCAGTAGGGAGTGTGCAGGAGGCAGCTGATGGATGTTTCTCTCTCATCGATGTTTCTAACTCTCTATTCCTCTCCCTTCTTCTCTGTAAAAAATCAATAAAATATATTTTTTTAAAAATCTAGTAAGTGCCTACTATGTACAAAATATTATATGTAGGAATGTCATAGTGTATAAGACCGATGTTCTTCCAGATTTGTCTTTAGTCTATACCAGCCGTAGGCAAACTACGGCCCGCGGGCTGGATCCGGCCCATTTGAAATGAATAACACTATTGAAAAAAAATACCATACCCTTTTATGTAATGATGTTTACTTTGAATTTATATTAGTTCACACAAACACTCCATCCATGCTTTTGTTCTGGCCCTCCGGTCTAGTTTAAGAACCCATTGTGGCCCTTGAGTCAAAAAGTTTGCCCACCCCTGGTCTATACTAACAAAATATAGTATTTTTTTAAAAAGCAGACACATGATTTTTTTAATATTTCTTTTCATCGACTCTAAAAAGTACTTTTTATAGAAACACCTCAGATTTAGGGCTGTATCTTATAACCAATGTTATGTTGTAGTTTAACTGGATGGCTTTTCTTTCTCAGTGATGCATAAAATCGATGGCATCTTAGATTCAAGAAAATATATCTTGATCACCTATATTCATTTGTATAAAACATTAACTCATTATTCATAGCTAAATGGTATTCTCATGCATGAGTGTAGCATAATTATATAGAAAGATACATTTAAGAGCTTCCAAAATCAAAGATTTTGAGTAAAAAAGGGCAAATATATAAGATGATGCAGAGTATCTTTTCCACAAATGGTTTTTGTTTCAACAGCTTATTCATTTTGTTACCTTAGTTTTTAAGTCACAAACCTAGAACCTACTAAAAACTAAAAATACATATAAAGTGGCATTTCATGTCAATGCCTCTTTTGAAGATCAACAAAAGATAAACAAAGTTGAACGGAATATAAGTAGAATCACAGAGCTGAAGGAAGAAATAGATGTAAAAAATAACTCCAATATTTATGTGATGCTTGCGAGGGCATCATACTTGCAGATGACAACTGCTTAATGATACCTTATTGAATTGATGCTTTCATTAGCTATTTTCAAGAAGAAACACAAAAATTTGCAAGGAGAAACTGACACCTTAGAATCCAGAGTGGAATCAACTCAATGGGTGTTAGCAGATTTGAAAGTTGTTATATCCAAAATTTGGGAGCAACATAAACCTTGAAGCTGATGAAAGTTAAACATTTTATAATATTTTAATAAACTTGAATATTGTTCAAATGATAATTTGCCTTCAAATGATATGGAAAGTAAAACTTAAAAAAGTTTTTTCATTTATTTAATGGAAACTTGTCTATTTTCTTAAAAAAATTTTTTTTAAAACATATTTTATTGATTTTTTTACAGAGAGGGAGGGAGATAGAGAGTTAGAAAAACCGATGAGAGAGAAACATCGATCAGCTGCCTCCTGCACATCTCCTACTGGGGATGTGCCCGCAACCAAGGTACATGCCCTTGACCGGAATTGAACCTGGGACCTTTCAGTCCGCAGGCCAACGCTCTATCCACTGAGCCAAACCGGTTTCGGCGGAAACTTGCCTATTTTCATGTCTTGCTTATTAATATGTTTTTACTGATTTCAGAGAAAGGAAGGAAGAGGGAGAGAGAGAAACATCAATGATGAGAGAGAATCATTGATCGGCTGCTTCCTGCACACCCTCTACTGGGGATGGAGCCCAAAACCTGGGCATGTACACTGATCTAAAATACTGGTGCACAGGATAATGCTCAACCAACTGCACCACACCAGCCAGTGCAGTATACAAGGATATATATATATATATATATATATATATATATATATATATATATATTTCTTATCTATTAATAACTCAAATTCTGGGGCTTGATTTAAAACTGTGAAAAGAAAAAACAATATCATCTCCATTTAACCTAAGAAATACATATTCATTGTTGATAATCTGTAAAATAATGAAAAAAAGTGAAAGAAAAATGTCACTAATGGTTCTACTACTCTAAACAAATCACTGTTAGCTGTTAGCACATTACTTTCCGATCTTTTCTTGAATTATATTTTCTCAACACTTTACTATGAAAATTTTCAAAGTTGTAAGCAAGGTTGTAAAACTTTTATAATCCCACCACCTAACTTACCATTAACTTTTTACTACAACTCATTTACCACTAATTTATTCATCATTCCAAACCTTTGCAACAGTTAAAATTATACTGCATGTAAAATTTTATATCCTTATTAAAATATGTCTATATAAGTAGGCTCAAACTATTACATTAGTTAATTAAAACCTTTCAACAAATTTACATTGCAACCAAAAATATTCAACAAATCACTGAAAGCAGTTCTGTGTTTTTTAATTCTAACTCAAGGTTGAATACAGAGATGGCTCACTCAAGAAGCAAACTCAAGATGCACGATGAGGTTTTTAAAGCATTCACCATACCCCCTTTTCAACATTTTACATGAAACTTGCAACAGAGTATCTTTAAAAACGAGAGCAGCATTGACCACACCCACAGGTAGACTTTTAAGAGTGTAAAACATGGCTTTCCTTACTTTGTGATGACTGCCAAAATGATTCTAAATGTTGACCTGGTCTGCTGGTTTGATCTAAAAAATAAAGAAGAAATATAGTACAATATAGAGTATATTTAACTTTTTAAAAATACACATTTTTTATTGATTTTTTACAGAAAGGAAGAGAGAGGGATAGAGAGTTAGAAACATCAATCAGTGGCCTCCTGCACACCCCCTACTAGGGATGTGCCCGCAACCAAGGTACATGCCCTTGACTGGAATTGAACTTGGGACCCTTCAGTCCGCAGGCTGACGCTCTATCCACTGAGCCAAACCAGTTAGGGCTATATTTAACTTTTTAAGTGCACATTTTACAAGAGAAAAAGGTGTACTCAAAAGAGCAAAAATACTCAGGGATAAACCCCAGGGAACACCTGAGTGCATAATTTTACAAGTTTCTAGAGTCAAGCTGTATCTAAAACATTAATTAATTATCAGTCTTTCCCCTAACTGCTTTTTCTTTTTTTACTTTATTTTTTTGTTAATCCTTACCCGAGGATATTTTTCCACTGATTTTTAGAGAGAGTGGAAGGGACGGGGAGAAACAGAGAGAGAAACATTGATGTGAGAGACACATCTATTGGTTGCCTCCTGCATTCAGATAGAGCCTGCAACCCAGGTACATGCCCTTGACTGGAATTATACCTGTGGTCCTTCAGACCAAGGGCCGATGCTCTATCCAATGAGCCAAACTGGCTAGGGCCCCCCTAACCCCTTTAAAAAAAAAGGACATAGTACATGGTGTAAGGTAAGGGGAAATTTTGAAAGTTTGTAATAATGGATCTTCTTGAAATCATTAATGTCAATTTTTTTCTTAAATTTCTCTTGCACGTGGTCAATATATTATTCTAATATGTTCTTAAAAACATTGTCATATTTAAGTGGAATTTAGAGGTAAATCTATTTAAAAGCAATCTGATTGCTATTTTGGCAACAGAAGCATTTGACACACTTAGGTATGGTGGCTAAATATCTATCTATATATATAAAAGCCTGAGCACCTGGCCAACTGATAGCTATGACACGCACCGACCACCAGGGGGCAGATGCTCAATGCAGGAGTTGCCAAGCTGTGGTGACTTGGCAACTGCAGTTCTCAGGTGACGCATCCAGAACCAGAGAGGAGGGAGCCGGATTCTGGGGTGCATCACCCGAGAACCACCCTCTCACAATCTGGGACCCCTCAGGTGATATTGGAGAGCTGGTTTCGCCCAAGCCCTGCAGGCCAGGCCAAAGGATCCCACCGGTGCATGCATCTGTGCACTGGGCCTCTAGTGTGTGTGTGTGTGTGTGTGTGTATTTTTTTTTAATCCTTACCCGAGGATATTTTTCCATTGATTTTTAAAAATTGATTTCAGAGAGGAACGGAGAGGGAGAGAGATAGAAACATCTTTTTTAAAAAATATATATATATATTTTTATTGATTTTAAAGAGAACTGGAGAGGGAGAGAGAGATAGAAACATCAATGATGAGAATCATTGATCAGCTGCCTCCTGCATGCCCCCCACTGGGGATCAAGCCCATCACCCAGGCATGTGCCCTTGACCGGAATTGAACCTGGGACCTTTCAGTCCCCCGCTCTAGCAACCGAGCCAAACCAGCTAGAGTATGGCTAAATATTTTTAGTAGTGTATCCCTATTATTAAAAAAATTTTGAGCATCAATATCCAAAACCTATTTCTTCCTAACATTATACACCAGTACATGCATTACTAAAGTAATACATTAACAAATGTGTATATTATAAAAGAAAAGACACTTTAAATGGATGAAATAGAAAAATATAAGCATGAAATGCTAATATTTTCTTCCTGCATTCCAATGGATCTTCTTGTACCTGTTCACTGAAAACTAGCCCGAGATAATCTAGGAAGATCAGTATTCTTCTTAATATGTCTCATGTCTTTGTTCTTTAGCTACTTTTCTTCTGCATGTGGGTATGTGTGCTTCAATAAGAATATATTAGAATTCTCAAGGGACCACAAAGCCTGGGGTTTATGTAGTAGTTTCAAAGAGCTATATATCTTGGTAGCAATAGCATTAAACTACTGGCTATATGAATGCTTAATTAGTCTCCAATTTTTAGATCTTTATGTATACATATGAAAACTAGTGACAGCACTTAATTTAAGTATTTACTATGTGCCAGGTACTTTCTAAGTGCTTTGCACATATGAATTAATTTAACTTCACAACCACCAAGAAGTTAAGCAGTTGCCTAAGGGCACAGACCTAGTAGCGGAGGAGTGAAACCCAGGGGTTCTGGCTCCAGAGCCCATGTCCCTAACCACTATCCTAGAGTGCTGCATAGCTCCTTTGGGATTTCTGTATCAAGAAAGATCGGGTTCAAATGAGGAAGGATGGGAAATATGTAGAATACCAAATGCCCACAGACCAGCTTATGAGCTTATTTTTAAAGTAAAACGATTAAGTAAAACTTAGAAATTACAGAAATTCTCAAAGGTGGGGAGGGGAAAGTGGAGACAATCTTCCATGGGGCTGAAATATATAAAATTACTCTTTTTTTTTTTTAAATTTTATTGAGTTTTGACAGAGAGGAAAGAAGAGAGATAGAGAGTTAGAAACATTGATGAGAGAGAAACATCGATCAGCTGCCTCCTGCACACTCCCCCCCACTGGGGATGTGCCCGCAACCAAGGTACATGCCCTTGACCGGAATCGAACCTGGAACCTTTCAGTCCGCAGGCCGACGCTCTATCCACTGAGCCAAACCGGTTTCGGCATAAAATTACTCTTTATTTACAGAGTTGACATATTTGATCCGTGCCCTGTTAAGCCACAAATTCACTTTTTCTCTTCAGTAGATTCTTTCCTTGAAAAACTTTAAACACAAGTTTATGTGAATATTCAGAAATAAGCTAAAGTTAATAAGATAAAAATCTTCCACTTTAACTTATTGCTAACTTAGTGTGAATTTGAACAACCCAGAGATAAAAGTAGTTATCTAAGTACATTAAAACTTCTGAAAAGTTAAAACTCCTGGTAGTGTAGTGAATATAATGCCAATGTGATCAGTTTCCCTATCAAATTTTTTAAAAAACTACAAATAATTCTTCTTATGAGCATAAAAATATTGTAGTCCATAAATATCAAATCAGGCTAAAAAGTGATTTAATTGTTTAAGTATTACATGACATTCTATTTCTAACCAGATGTATACATGGAATCAGTAATTTTAATAAATATGAAAAAATATACTACTTTAAAAGTTATTAAAGATAACTTATAGTATTTTTTAAAAAAGCAAATTCACAAATACCTTTATATTTTAACTAAAAATACAGCTCCTAAGTTAGGTGTCATATGTGTATAAAGCAATATTACCTCCAGAGTCAAGAGGCTCCTCGGATCTGACCTTAACAGAAGTAACAGCACTATCAGAGATGTCTTGATCATCTTCTTCAGTGTCCCCTAAAAAGGAAGAAAGGATATACTAGTATAGTCTCTACTCAAATGCTCTAAATATCTGAATTAAAAAACAAAAACAAGCATTCAACATTAAAGTAAAATCTTTTTGATGATCAGATACAAAATTGTTCTTTATTATGTTTACTTATTCTGAGTCACAATGTTTTAAATAAGCTAAAATTGAGCTCATTTATTTTACGTTCTCTGAGGCATATAATTATATTCCAACAAATATTGAGAGTAATGTTTACTAAGATTATATTCAGAAGCTTGAAAATAAAAAGAAAAAAAAAGGGAGCATTAAATAGTGGAACAATTTTACCTTATTAACTTCAACTTATTAGTGTGTAAATTCAGACAAGATTAGTATATGCACGCATGCATGTCTATATATACATGCATATACATGTATATACATGTCCACACACAAACATATCAATATGGAGGTGACTAATTTCAGAGTATGGTGGGCTTTAAAATGAATGAAATGGTACTGCACTATTCAAACATAGACTGGTTATGAGAATTTGAAAAACTGTTTTAATAACATAATCAAATGCCAGCATGTCAGAAACTGAAAATACTAGCTTTGCTTAAAATTATTAACTCAGACAAAAGATGCTTGAAATGTACAAAGGCTATCAACACTCATTCTATACTATTTTACCTGCCTATTTGACAGTTAAGATAAGCATGATTTTTTTTTTTTTTCCTGGAGAAAAAGACACTATTTTCTGCTCTCACTCTTAAGTATCTATCAAAATTCTATTAATGGTAACAAAAAAAGATTAAGAATATACTGTATGATATTTTAAAAGAAAATACCTTCTTCGGAGAAATTGACCTTCTGTGGGACACTAGTGGCTTCTAGAAGAGAAAAGCATACATGTATATAACATTAAAGGCTAAAGTTTAGGAATAAAAACATCTAAATTAAGAAAAGGGACCATAAAGATAAAATGAACTATTTTTTTGTTAAATCCAAGAAGAGTCTATTATTTCCCTCTACTCTATTTCAGGAATAAGTGTGATATAAACTAAAATCAGAAAGCTTATTTTTCCTTTACCCACAGGTCTATTTGTACTCTAAAATGTAACCTGTATTTGCAGACATTAGAATTTAATAGAATGAGATTGTCAATACCCACAAAATAACTTCTGAGATTTTGATTGGAATTGCATTGAGTCTATAGATTCACTGGGAAGAAGTGGCATCTTGACAATATTGAGTCTTCCTCTATTGATGAGAATGGAATTGTCTCCTTCATTTATTTAGTAGTTCTTTGATTTCATTAATTGGTTTTTTTAGTTTTCCTTAAGTCTAATACACATTTTATTAGATTTATATAAGTATTTCATTTTGGGGGATGCTGACAGGAATTATATTGTGTTTGTAATTTTAAACTTCTCTTGTTCATTGCTGGTATATAGGAAACATGATTGATTGTATATTAACGTTGTATCCTACAACCTTACTATATAATTGCTTATTAGTTTCAGCAGTTTTTGTCCATTCTTTTGAATTTTCTACATAGATGATCATGCCACCTGTGAACAAAGACATTTTTATTTCTTCCTTCTATATATCTTTTATTTCCTTTTCATGTCTTATTGCATTAGCTAGAACTTACAGCACAATGTTGAAAAGGAGCGGTGAGGGCATCCTTGCCTTATACCTGATGTTACTAAAGCTTTCAGTTTCTCATCTCCAAGTACATCTGCTGTCAGGTGGTCTTTCTGTAGACAGTTTTAATCAAGCTGAGAAAGTTCCCCTCTATTTCTAGTTTACTAAGAGCTTTTATGTGAATGGGTGTCGGGGTCTGTCAAATGCTTTCCTTGCATCTACTGACATGATCATGTGACTTTTCTTTTGTTTGCTGATACGCTAGATTACATTAATTAATTTTTAATAATTATCATGTACATTTTTTGGGGTTGGTATTTCTGGTTCTAGCATATGGGCCGGTCACCGACATGTAGGTGGTGGTTAGGAAGTGGTTAAAAATAAATGTTTATTTTAATGAATGCATAGATTTTAGGATCACAGAATAAAAGCTTTTAAGTTAAGACTTTTGCTAATACGTCTCATACTTTAATAAAACATTACTTGGCAACTTAAGAAAAATCACCTGAAATTAGCACTTAATAATCAGATTTTATACAAGGTTTTAAACATTCCACTTATCTTTATCTTTTTAACCTAAGCTGCAAAATATTTACAGGTATACTGTATATTTAAATACCATCTGATAATGAATCAGCAGCATCTATGACTACGTAAGTTTTAATTTCATTTCCCTCTTTTGTTATTCAGCTTCCTGTATTTTAAACTTCTTGGCTGCTACATGCAAACGTTTAAAACATTAAATAAATATACCCAACTTGTGTGGCTCAGTGGTTGAACATCGACCCATGAACCAAGAGGTCACTGGTTTGATTCCTGGTCAGGCAAATGCCCGGGTTTCAGGTTAGATCCCTAGTAGGAGGCATGCAGGAGGCAGCTGATCAATATTTCTCTTTCATAGATTTTCTATCTCTCTTTCTCCCTTCCTCTCTCTGTAAAAATCAATAAAAACATATTTAAAAAACATTGAATTGATATATATAGTATTATTCTTCTTTATGCTCATACAGAAGTTCTGATAAATTAAAATCCTTTTTGGAGCAATAATACCCTTAATTTTAAAAAGTTACCTGTGGCTCTGACAAATATATAGACACATGACAATAATTAAATGTGCTATTATGCTGTAACTTTTCCAACAACCTCAACCAATTACAAAAAGGTACTTTCAGAAATCCTAGGTCTTTGTTGCAAGAATAGATCACTTACAACCATATTCTCTGATGGAGACCACTAATTGTAACACTTCGTTCACTTTCTTTTGTATGATCGCAGGTTTTTGTTTGTTGTTATTTTTTTAAAATATATTTTATTGAATTCAGAGAGGGAGTGGGATAGAGAAACATCAATGATGAGAGAGAATCACTGATGGGCTGCCTCCTGCACCCCACCTCACTGAGGATTGAGCCCACAACCCAGGCATGTGCCCCTGACCAGAATTGAACCTGGGACCCTTCAGTCTACAGGCCGACGCTCTATACACTTAGCCAAACCAGCCAGGTTGTTTGTTTTTTATTGTAGTTTTTAAAGAAAATACACGCCCTGACCGGTTTGGCTCAGTGGATAGAGCGTTGGCCTGTGGACTCAAGGGTCCCAGGTTCAATTCCGGTCACGGGCACCACAAATAAAAAAAGAAAAAAGAAAAGAAAATACAAAGTTCCTGGTAATTTCTACTACTGTATAAACATTCCTATTCCTAGAGATCTGTGGAATGTGTTGGTGTGAGGAGGGAAGGGTACTCAAGCAAATACAAGCTTTGCTTACCTTGGTTTTTGTCTGGGGGCAAAGATATGAAGATTTCATAAAATGAGATTATCATGCTTTCTCAAAGGCAAGACCAAATAGGAGTCATTGTGTCTCCTTCCTATCTTCTTGTGCTGTCAGTACAACCTCGCTTGGAGTGTTACAACAAATCCTTGTCCAGGCAAGGATGTACCGCTTTGAATGTACTCTTAGAACAAACAAATGACAATTTGAGTTCAATTCCTGCCATTGGTATAAACGAGGGGTCAGCAAACTTATTCCATATAGGGTCAAATGGCAAATATTTTAGGCTTTGTGAGCCATGTAAGTTCTCTGCAGTTCACATATATATGAATACACATATTCTCATAGATATGTATGTGAAATATAAGTATTTCACAAAATATAAATATTTTTTTAAGCTCACAAACTGTACAAAAAACAAGACTGCAGGTCAGATTTTACTCAGAGGCTATAGTTTCTGACCCTGGTATAGATACCTTTAAGAATAGTACCTGTAAAATTATTCGATGCCAACCATGCTTTTGAGAACAGTCAGAGTGGAGCAGCAGGAAGAAGAGATTAAGGAATAGCTTGAGGCTATTGCTAGTATTCAAGTTCCATGAATAACCATTTGAATATACTCCATTCTCTGTATTAATCTCAGAAATTTCCTTCAAACTGGAAAGCACGTGATTTAAAGTTAATTTTTATTATAAAATACTTATAAAAATAATTTTTATTCAAACATAGAAAGTAGAAGTGCAGGATTATCTTAGCTCAAAGTCCTCTTCCAATTAAGAGTCTGACTTAGTCACCCAAATAAATTCAATAAATGAAAAAAAACACCCTAATTTTAAAAGAAAAATAAAAAGAACCTGACATAAAAACATTCTTTCTTTAAGTTTTAAAATAGAGCACTTGAGAAACTGGTGTCTGAGTAAAAGTCCACAATTGCTGTGTATTTTCAGTATCCAGACACTAAAAATCCTGAAGTCTCTAAAGAAATTAGCCTCAGCTTAAGTGAAAGACAAATTTTTTAAAAGCTGCAGCTATTTATAAAGAAAAATTAAGCCTCTCTCCTTTTGACTCATCTCCAAATTTAGAAAAGAACTGTAACTTAAAACTGTCTAACCACAATCAATGCAGATTCACTTAAAGCCACAGATCTTGGTGTCTCATGTCCTATATGAATAAAACACCGAAAAGAATTAAAACTAGGTCAATAAACATAGCGAAGGACACTAAACTTGCCATAAAAAAAATTCCAAGTTCACTTCCTAAGTCAAGAAAAAAACCTTAATTGGTAAGTTGTTATCTCCTTTCTCTCAATAGTGTGACTTTAACAAAGGCTAACTAAAATGAAAATGTATTTGTTCTTTCACGAATTTTAACAATAGGATAACAAAATACATAATTTCAAATAGAATAACCAACAAGGCTGTTAAGAAAGGTCTTGGTCATAGGGACAGTGCCCCACACGGTGAGATAATGAACAAAGTAATATTTTCAAGCCAGTGACCAAAAGTGTGCACTCCTGTATTCTACTGATAATCAGAATCCTCAAAAAGAACTTAGAAAAATTAGAAATTAACAAACCTAATTCACTCATTTCAGTATTTCCATTTGTTTTGTATGCTGAATCTGCAAGAGAGATAGAGAGAAAAAGAATAGAGCTTAAAAGGAAATGCATCATATGGTTCTTTACCACAGGTTCATCATCAAAACCATAACAGATCTTTATCATTGTAATACTTGATAGTCATAAAAAAAAAATCAATCTAACTTTTTCTTACAGAATATAACTGAGGAATAGAAAACTAATGTGAAGATAAATAAGCTTCCTTTTTACTTCCCATAATAAAGCATCCTTATGGGCCAAAAAACTCTGAAACTGAGGCAGAAGTAGACTTCACTAGTTTTCTTTCATAGCCATGAAATCAATTGAAGGAAACACTCTTTTAAGGTATTAGTCAAAAAGAAATGTAATGGAGGCAGGGAAATTTTATAGCCCTGAGCCACAAAGCCTCTGTCTTGAATTTTTTATTAGCCTTATACTGGAAAGAATAAAAAGTCCCTGACCCTAGTTTGAAATCATCGTGCTAACAAAAAGAAACATGTAAAAAACACCTCTTAAAAAGGCTGAAGAAGCAAGCCCTTTATATTGTTATATAAAAATATGTCACAATATATGTTAAATAAAAACAAACATTATAGAGGTGCAAAAATATTTATTGGGCTAAAGGGAGGAAAGATCATTTATACATGAATTTCCTTATATCTCCATAAAATATCTCTGGAAGAATACCTAAGAAACTGACAAAATTGGCTGCCTCTAATGAGATAGGTGGGTAAAGAAGAGGGGGAGCAGGATGAATTTTCATTGTATATTTACAGTAACTTTTGAATTTTGAATCATAAAAATGAATTTATAAACTCCATTTATAAAAATGTCAAACCAACAGACAAATAATTTCTTACCAGATCGTGGACTTCTTAGAGGGGGTCTAAGCAGGTCGAGTACAGAATCTCCACTCATCACTAATATGGGAGAAAAAACACTTAAGAATATGTAAAATATCCAACACACTAGATTTATTATACAGTCATCTATTAAATCAACAAAGGTGTTTCTGTGCTTTCCATTATGTTAAGTATAAGGATACACTAGTGAACTAGAGACAAGTTTCCTGCCATAAAAAATTTACGGACTTGATGGAAAAATTGATAATTTTTTTCAGCAGACCGTATTTGTATAAAAGGAAAGGAATACCAAATAAAACTCTCCTAAATTTCTCAGTTAGAAACCAAAATCTGATGCTATACACCTCAAATTAATATAATACTGAATGTCAACTATAATTGAAAAAAAATTTTTAACGAAAAACAATCTGTATGAGCACAGAGAAGAAAACAAAAAAAACCTTTCCTGCATGCTCCAGTGTGTGTGTGTTTGTGTATGTGTCTGTATATGTGTGTGTGTGTGTGTGTGTGTGTGTGTGTGTGTATGTATATATATGTGTGTGTATATATATATAGATACTTGAAGGAGACAAAGTACCAGGAAGAGGTATCAGATGATCAGTGACACAGTTATTTTTACTAGGTTGTTTTAGAAAGTGGCCTCTTTGGTTAGGTCTTTATTCTTAAGGGCATCTTAGGATAAATTTCTCTCAGACCACATCAGTGGCCCTACATGCAATTACAGAATATATAATATTCAAAATACCAAGTTAAACTGAAAGTCTATAATGCTATAAGGAAGAGGAAGGGCCTATCCTTAAACTTGTACTTAAAGCAAATCTTCCAACAAAGAGTGACTCCCATTTAATAATTCCTCTGCTAGACAGACTTTACAAGCATTTAATAATTCCCTAAATTTTTTTCCTTTCATTCAGAAGCATGAGATGGGAGCATGTCAAATGCTGGATATAGAAAGATTTATAAAAGCACCTTTTAGAGCAGTGATGGCGAACCTATGACACACGTGTCAGAAGTGATACGCGAACTCATTTTTTTGGTTGATTTTTCTTTGTTACATGGCATTTAAATATATAAAATAAATATCAAAAATATAAGTCTTTGTTTTACTATGGTTGCAAATATCAAAAAATGTCTATATGTGACACGGCACCAGAGTTAAGTTAGGGTTTTTCAAAATGCTGACACGCCGAGCTCAGAAGGTTCGCCATCACTGCTTTAGAGTAAGAGAACCCTGAGTGTCTCCAATCTCCCGAAGATGCACATAACTGGATTTCTAGTTATATAGTAGGCACAGTGTACTATCAAAATATTCCAAGTAATCTACTATATAATGGTCTATAGGCTGACACTCAACAGTCTTCAGTACATCAATTCACTTAACTCTGTAATTTTTCTTTTTTGTTATTGTTAATCCTCACCTGAGGATATTTTTCCATTGATCTTTTAGAGAGAGTAGAAGGGAGAGGGAAAGACAGAAACATCAATGTGAAAGAAACGCATCAATTGGTTGCCTCCTGCACGTATCCCAACCAGGGCCGGGGCTAGGGAGGAGCCTGCAACCAAGGTATGTGCCCTTGACAGGAATCGAACTTGGGACCCTTTGGTCCACAGGCTGACGCTTTATCCACTGAACCAAATGGCTAGGGCTTACCTCTGTAGTTTTTATAAATTTACCCTAAATTTTAAAAATAAGAAAATTTTGCTTCTTCAGGTATAAGGGACATGCAATTAAATCTACTGTAAATAAAATTTCAAGAATATGCTTTTTCCAAATGGCCTGAAAAGTCTGATTATAGCACCGATTACTCAAAGCATTTTTCCAAGATAGTTTATAATCTTAACACAGTAATGTAGGCTGTTCAAGGAATTAAGCTTAAAGAGAACTGAAGTTGAACCAGAAGTACTTTATTCTAAATTGAGAATAGAACAGTTCAAACTATAAAGCATAATTGTCTTAGAAGCAATGGATAAGAAAATAAGTCAGGATTTGGGTTAAAAAATCCAGGGATGATCAGTTTCAATAGTTATAATCATCTGATGTGGGACTGTCCTAATATCAAAAAAAGCAAATTGAAAATAAATGGAACTAAAACAAAAGATATTAAGCACTAATAAATTTAGTTAATTCTTTCCCCTGCTTTTCAAAATAGTTAAGTTTTAAAAACTTAAGTAGATTATCAAGTGTAGCCTACTTCCATGATACACTGAGATACTAAGATGCAAATATTTTTAGACTTTAACATCTCTGAATTGGGATGCATCACACCATCTATGGCATATTACAGTTTATTGGCAGCATTTCTTCCTTCTAAGTGGTACGTAAAACAATGACAGTGTATCTTACAGATGACATCTTAGATTTCATGAAATTTAGTATCAAATGGACAAGACTGACTTTTCTATGCAAACCATTTAACCCATTTTAAATGAAAGGCGGGTTAGGCAGTTCACCCATTTATACTACTGGGTAGCTAATTATTACATGGGAGAGTGACAGTGATACTTGGGGAAAATGAAAGGGCCTTGTGACTAAGTTATGAGACACACAGTTATGTGACTAAATTAATACATATGAAGTGACTGGCCCTTAGTAGGTACTATAGTACTCGTATGCTGTCTTTCCTTGACACATTGCTTAATTCAATAAACAACTATTAAGAAGATTCATTGCTGAAGCCGGTTTGGCTCAGTGGATAGAGCGTCGGCTTGCGGACTGAGAGGTCCCAGGTTCGATTCCGGTCAAGGGCATGTACCTGGGTTGCGGGCACATCCCCAGTGGGAGATGTGCAGGAGGCAGCTGATCGATGTTTCTCTCTCATGGATGTTTCTAGCTCTCTATCTCTCTCCCTTCCTCTCTGTAAAAAATCAATAAAAAATATATATTAAAAAAAAAAAAAAAAAAGAAGATTCATTGAAACTGAATGAAGTATGATTTGGGACGCCTGATGAACCAGGTTATAATCTGTACATAAAAAAAGTTGCCGGGTTACGGGAAAAAAACCAAAATCACTCTCTCACCTGAAGTCTCTTGTGTTCTCCAGACAGTTTTCTTTGAGACTGTTTGGCTTACAACAGTTTGTGGAGATAGCTCTTCCTCTAAAGAATAGATAAGACAATTGTCAAAATTCAGAATACATGATCTGGGTAGAGAGTATATATTCATATTAATAGCAATATATGAGCAGAAATGCAAGTAATTCATTGCTTTAGAAATGTGAAATTAAGTTTACCAAAACTTACAAATGTACCTAGTGAGAACTACAATTAAAAAAAAACAAAAGAAAAAACTCGTCCCCACTGATGCTTTACCACAAAAACATATTACTTTAAAAATTTTCAACGATGGGTTAGAGCAGCAATTTTCAACGTGTGTGGCGCAAGAATTTTTAAAGCACACAATACCCGACTATTTAGGGACACTGACCTCTTTTCCCTTGGGTTTTCAAATTTTAAAAATGATAGCCACTGGTGTAAGTGATTCAAAATTATGCCTTTTTTGTTGTTGTTCGTATCGGTCAAAAATATAATTTTTGGTGAGCACAGAATTTTAGTAATTAGTTTATGTGCACAATGAGATGAAAAAGGTTGAAAATCGCTGGGCTAGTATCAAATGATGTGGAAGAAAGCAGGAGAGTAAAAAAATGTTTAGATCCTTATAGATGTACTTAAATAGAGGCACATCCTTTATGTGTTAAAAATATTAACTGACACAGCTGCATTAGACTCTGTAGAAGAGTCCATACAATTTAACAGGTCTTGTTAAATAAAGGTGTGCAAAGCATTCTTCCAGACATTGAAGGAGATACAGAAGCACTATCAAACATATATGATAGGATCTCTGTCTTCAGGAACACACGGGGAGGAGCAAAAGTAGGTTTGCAGTTGTGAGTACCAGAAACAGAGTCCATTCTTGTATTATTATTATTTATTAATTCCTGTATGACTTCCCATAGGAACAACTGTCTCGAGTGACTACACCCTATAGTAATTTACATATCTTTAACATAAAGTTTCCAAAATGAACACATCTTCAAATGCGTCAGCACTTCATATGTCATCAGGTAAACGGGCAGCCTATTCCTCTACTCTAGGCTGAAAATCCACGTCCTCTTCATATCTATCAATGGTCTAAGTATGTAATCCCATTGTGATCCAGACCCCCGGCTTCTTACCTCATCGGTGCCTTACGTGGGTTAACATGAAACATCACCTGTGACTCCGCTAGGAGGGGGCCTGGGGGCAAGGTGTTGATTCGCCTGTGACTCATGTAAAACGATACACTAACTTTGTCAGCATCCTTCTGGCCCATTTGTCGGGCTACTACTACGTAATCGTTGGGATTACAATGAGGGCCCCCAGAGTGGCGAATGTTGGGCACAGACCACCACACGAGAAAGAGCAATCGGCTCCAGTCCACCAGACCCAGAGGGCTTCCAGTTCAAGATGACTGGCCGACCCCACCTCGGTGTACGGATCTGGGCGGGGTCTCAAATCAATGCACCGACTACTCACAGATCCCCTCCCTCGTCCCTCACGTGGACAGTGCAGGGAAAAGACTGGGAGTTGAGTTAGTTAGAACCGTAATCCGCAGCTGGGAACTTTCGGCCTCTGAGTATGAAAGGAGGAACTATAAGCGGCTTTAGCAGAAACAGCCGCCGGCTAGAGGAAACCGAAGTGAAACAGAGTCTGGGGCGATCCGAAGTCCCGCCAGCCGGCCGGCTCGCCGTCCCTCGTGAAGACGTGCGGAAAGAGGCAATCCCGACACCCCTAAACGGGTGCCCAGGGCTTCCCGGCTCTGCTCGTTGCCCCGCGCGACTGCCTCTCGTCCTCCAGCCTGTGCCTCTTTCCCCCCTGCGGTCGGGGTGGGCGGGACGAGAGGACCCACTTCACCCGGGCGGAGGAGCCACGGGAGCCGGGGCGGGGATGCGCCCGTGCGGGGATGAATGAGCTCGGCAGGGACAGCCCGCCCGCCCTGCCTCCCTCCCGCACTCGCTGTCGGACTTGCGGGACTGTTACCTCCGTCCGCCTCACCTTCAGAGGAATGCGAGTCCCGTAACCGTCTCCGGACCATCACCGGCTGTGGCGGAGGCTGCTGTGAGTTCTCCTGCTGGAGGCGCGCAGCCCTTCGCGTTCTCATCTCCACGGCTTCCTGGAGTCGCGGCTGCCTCCGGGGCTGAGACCGAAGGTTGTAGGCGCGCTCTCTCACTTCCTCTTTCGTAGCATGGGGCCGGAACTCCTTGAGCTGGATTCGTTTTCCCATCGGAGATCTATCTTTGGCCACCGGGGGCTCGAAGTCGCCGTACACTTCCGGCGGCTCTTCCGAGAACCTCACTTCCCGCCGGGCGTGGCGTGACGGCGACGGAGTTCCGTGCGCAGGTGCGTCACTGCCGCCGCCCCGTTCAGGGGCGAGCCGGCGCCTTCCCTCCCGCAGGGGGGCCCGGGGTGTCACGTGCAGCCCCCATCCTTCAATCACCGACTCCGCCCGCCGCCCGTCGCCCGCCATAGTTGTTGTCGTAGCTTGCGTCTATCGCCCCTAGATGGTTTGGGGGCCCTGAGTTCACCTGCCGTTGGTGACGATGGCTTTTCGGGGTGCCGGGCGGTGGTCGCGGTGGTCAGGGAGGCAGTTGCGAGTCGCCGGGGCTGCCGCCTGCGTCGTCGCTGCTGTGCTGCAAACCCGCCTCTGGGCCCATGGTGTGTCCGAGGGCGAGGGCTGTGCGAGAGGCAGTGCCCTGCTGGGTCAGCTGCTGTGGGTCACTCCCGCCTCTTGGCTGCAGGCACCAAAGAGGAGGAGAAGAGGGAGGCGGCCTTCGCTGTCCTCGGCCTTGGAGGAGAGAGGGAGGGGACGATGCAGAAGGGACAACCGGCTGGGCAAATGGCGTGCCCTAAGCCCAGCTGCTCGTGGCAACTGTTGCCGGCGCGCGGAGACGCCCGCGCTGGCAGCCGGTAGCGAGTGTGGGAAAGCGGAGGAGACGGGATGGAGAAATGTCGCGCCCCCCCCCCCCCCCCCGGCTGTTGCGCACTTTTCCTGCAACCTTTTTGACCCGCCTTAGCCATGCCTGCAAATGCCCCTAGCAGGCAGGAGTGGTGATGATAAAGATACTTTTGCAGGTGTCAACTTTCCTTGGAGAAGAATTTGGTTTCAGGCTCTTGATGAGAGCATTTACCCGGTTTTAAATTGTAAGTCACCTGTTGAGTGTAGAAATGGGAACGACAGGCACACGACGGTGGGTTTCCACCAGTGAAGTGAACGCACAGCACATGTCATTCCTGGGAAGCTCTTCCAGCAGCGCCGTTCTGAGCCTGGGTGCTGTATTATGGACAGGGAAAGAAATGAACGAATACATGGATTAAAGACAGCTGTAACTTTAACTTGTGATCTGTTATTTTTACTTTGATGCTGGGCATGACTCGATGATACTGCATTTGATTTGGGGATTCCTGTGTTTAGTTTACTGAATAAAAAGCACTGTTAGTTTCATATCGGTATACCATACTTATGGATGTAGATAATTACAAATATGTAACCAAATTTATATACACTTGGGGGAGGGGAATTAAGTTAGTGTAAAGTCTGAAAAATTAAAAGATTGTTACCTTCAAAATATACACTTCAAAATCCTCCTCTTGGAGGATTCAGTGTATAGATTTTAAAAATTGAGTGATCCTGAAAATTTCGAAGGTGTTTATTTTTTTCCAGTATTTTAAATCACCTTAGAATGATTTTGAGCAACTCATTTGTTCAAACTGGGCACAAATTTCATTATAATAAAATCTTAACATGTTCTATGTTTTCACTAATGGGCCATATATTTCGTCACAGACACAAGGAGTTGCATGCGTTAGAGAGGGAAGTTTTAGCCTGTTAGTGTAGCTTAGCTTTGTTTGCTATATACAATATAGCCAAAGAAACTGGAGAAACAGGCACAAGGCAGATGCTAACTTTAAAAAAAAAATCTTTAAAGGGCAAATTAGAAGCATATTCTCCCTTGTCAGCTTGATTTAGTATGTTTGGAAAACTTGTGGGACTTCTTTTCCAACAAAATGCTTGGTCAATACCTGGCTTTTGTTTTAAGTAATACTTTCTGCATAAGGTGCCTATTATATTACTCATTAAGCTATAATAGTAAAAGTTCTGTAATGCAGTTATTAAAGGATATAAAACTTTATGCTATTAATATACAATGTTCATATTATGAACATTAATGCATACAATAAAAGCCTCTATCACATTTACCAGGACAGGTAACTATATAGAAACTTGGATACAGACTTGTAAAACTTAGGTTTGGGGAAAATATTAAAAAAGAAAGGACAAGAGGCTCTACATATTATTGGCTAATCAAATCAATGTGTTATTTTATAATTAAGAATGCTTGTGAAGTTTTAGGAATGGCTTCATATAAAAATATGAATCACGAGAATCTTAAAATCAGAGGCATGGTAACTAACATTAACACGTATTTGCTTAGGATTTTCCGTACTTCATCTAAGTAATAAGAATACATAATCCTAGCTCTGCCATACCTGCCTCCCACACCTAGCAACCTTACAAATACCAACTTTCATCATAACTGTGAGGTAAAGTTAAAGCCTAGGCAAACCAGATATTCTGCTGTAGATGTTTTCCAAGCTACAGGGGTGTCCAAAGCAGGTGACATTACAGAGACAGTAGATTCATAGCCAAAACTAGAAGTGAATTGGGCCACTGACACCAAGAGGAGGCATGAGCTCTGGATGTTAGAAAATTACTTTGGGAATTTTAAATATGTAGAGTAATTCTGTGACTCAAAGGAAAAGACAGGCAAGACAAGACATGATTATAACATACAGGGGTGGGCAAAAGTAGGTTTACAGTTCATATAAAAGACATTCAGGTTATTAATAGTTTCATTAACTCAAAAGTATGTCACAATGGGGCAGTGCACTTAGGTACGCTCTTATAAGCGCTCAAATTGCTGGCCATTATTTGGACATTCTTATAGTTCTTGAAAATCAGTAAACAAATTTCATTGACCTGTTTGGGTAGCCTCACTGCCTCCTGAGGTGGTTGAATTCAACCTAATGCCCACCCCTGTACTCATTAATTCATATATTTATTAAACATCTATGTTGGCACATAATAGATATTTAATAAATATATGAATTAAGTTAATGAGTATATTCTTTATCCCTAGGGAATTTGCCATTAATTAGGGAAGGCATATACAAAAATTACAATTGAGATTAAATGACCGGCATTAATGTATATACTTAGCTGTTAGTGCTAGGTCTAGACATCTAGTGTTCTTGACACTGGATTTCTAAATAAAGCAGCTATTTAAAACGAAACATTTTGCCCTAACTAGTTTGGCTCAGTGGATAGAGCGTCAGCCTGTGAACTAAAGGGTCCTGGGTTTGATTCTAGTCAGGGGCACATGCCTGGATTGCAGACTTGATCTCCAGTAAGGGGTGTGCAGTACAGGAGGCAGCTGATCAATGATTCTCATCACTGATGTTTCTATCACTCTTCCCCTCTTCCTTCCTCTCTGAAATCAATAAAAAATATATCAAAAAATAAAAATGAAACATTTTAAAATAAGAATTTTTGTATATGAATTTTGTTTAGGGTAAGCAGAAATCCAGTTATATACTGAGGAAAAAAATCTATCAATCCATTCACATTTGTGCTCAGCTAGACAAATGACTTTGGGGTTATATCTTAGTAGAAAGAGGCAACATTGTTATTTTTAATAAGGAAGTAATGATTAAAATATTAAAAATAAGAGGAAGGAAATTAAAGACAGTAGCTGGTTTCATTTATTCCCCATTCTCGCAAGTGATAGACAAAATATTTTAAAGATTGTTAATACAAATGAAAATGTCTAGCTGGAAATGTTATGCTGAAGTTAAGAAAATTTAAACTTAGTTAAGTTCACTGTTCGATGAAGAATCATTAATCTAAAAAGTATTTGGGCCTCTGTGTACTAGCCAGATGGTGGCGGGGATACAGCAGTAGAAGAATAGACCAAAAGACAACCCTCCCATGTCTACTTGGAATTTATATTCTTTGGAAGTCAGATAAAAATAAAAATAAGTAAAATAGTGTGTTAGTGTTTTGAGGAAAATGAGGCACAGGGAAGTGAGATCAGTGAGCAGATTTCTTCTATGTTGTCTTGAATTGGTGTAGGTCAGGAACAGGAATTTTAGACTTACAGTTAGCCCTTGAACAAGGTGGGGGCTAGGGGCCCTGACACCAGCCCGTTGAAAAAACAGAACTTCAGTCGTCCCTCCATATTCGAGGGGGATTGGTTGCAGGACCACTCCCCACACCAAAATCCAGGCATGGGCAAGGTCATTATATAAAATGGCATGGAACAATGTATACAGCTGGTCTTATGCCTGCCCCGGATTCCCAATCCCGGATGGAAAGTCCTGTTTTCCACTTGCGGTGGTTGAATCTGCGGGGTCCAAACTCTTGTAGGGAGAGCAGACTACATGTTTATTGGGAAAAAAATCTCAGTACCATTGAACCGCACAGTTCAAACTTCTGTTCCATCAGCTGTACTTGACCTTGCCCCTGATTGATTATGTGTTCTTGGGCAAATTGCTTTCCATTTTTCAATTTTCACATTTATAAAGTTAATAGATGAAAATAGTAGCTTTTCTTATTCGTTTGCTGCTGTCATTTAGCAGACACTGTTACCTCATTAGCTCTTTACTCACAACCACCCCATTGGACATGAGCAAACCGAGTTAATGTCTGACTGGTGCAGTGCCTCTCACTGTGCTGGCTGCGTGGTCCCAACAGCCTGTGCATTTAGGATCCTTGTGAGGGTAGGGTCGTCTGGCAGAGACGCCCGCCTTCCCTGTCATGTCGCAGCACGAGGCTCGGGGACATCTGTGCTTCCATCGCGCGCACTCACCACTGTCTGGTGCTGGTGGCTCGCGGCGCGGTAGAGGGGGCGGAGGCGGGGGGGGGGGGGGTAGTGAGGGAGGGGCTGCAGACTGTGAGGGAGGGGCAGGGCGACTACCAGTCCCAGCATTCCGCGGGCGCTCCCCTCCCAGCACAGGTCACCGTCACGTGGCCGGGGACTGGGCGTCATTCTCTCCGGCGGCGGCCGCGTCCGAGGGGTGCAGCCGGGTTTCGTGGACCAGAACACCGGAAGGGCCCCCCTGGCATTGACCACGGACGATTTAAAACTCCGCCAGAATTTGTAAGTAAATAAAATGCGTATACAACTTTTCCATGTTTTAACATTTGATCCGATGTCTTTTTGAAAGATCTTTCAGAAACGATCCTTCCCCACCCCCACCTGCATACGGCACAAATCTTAAAACGAAGCAGATAGGGAGTATTTTTGTTTTGGAGTAAAAAAAGAAACAATCTTAAATACTAAACAGGATAAGGTGGGGGCGGGGGACGACGACAAATGTTTGGTTTGGACTTTGAGACCAGAATTCCTTATGGCTCAAACGTAAACCGGAACTCCACCTGAGCAGGACGGCGACTCCCTGTACTCACAGCCTAGCAGGGCGCCTCATTTTTCACCTTAATCCTTGTTGGACAGCCATCCCCACCCACCTTTTTGTAGCCTTAGGGGTGCTAATAAGGGCAGAGTTTGAAGTTTTAGGAAGATCCTACAATTACCATTTTGCTTACGCATTATGTTCTCCCAATTGTATTTCGCAGCCAGCGAGGTTTGCCCCTTTCTTCTCTCCTCCGGGGAAGTGTCTAGTGCTCTCCATTTTGTGTTAGACTTTATACACAAACACAGAAGTGAGTGACCTTAACCCGATTCAACTTATTTTTTTTTGGTTTCAGTTTTACCTGCCTTTAGGCTTTAAAACATTTTATTCTGGATCTGTATGAGAGATCCTCTCTCTCTCTCCCTCCCTCCCTCCCTCCCTCCCCCTCTCCCTCCCTCCCTCCCT